ATACAAATTTGCTGACCGATAAAACCAAGGTAATTCTACTCAGAAACTTTCAATACACAATCAAGACACCAAAAGCAGTTCATTTAACATAAAATCGAATGTACATATCAATGAGCATGTACACTGGCTTACCCACATTGTAAATTTAGAAAAAAGGTTTAACCAAGTTTGCTACAGTATAAGGATTATTAGTAGTTATCTCAGCAAAAAGTTTGATTGAATAGAAATCTGCTCTGTTCACCTTTCAAACATGCTATGCAAGGTATTTAATTTTTAACATCTTCGAAATCGATTCTTGATGTCATACCGTTTCTCAACTTGTTCAGATCGCAGAAATTGATGTGAGCCACTTTCTACAATATCATAACAGTGCGTCAGATTTATGAGAAATCATGTAATTGAAATTTTCTGCGGGAAAAATGTTCATTTTATACATGTTATCTACTAAATATTGTTTTGTTGACTGAAAATTTGACATATTTGATTAAAAAAATTTATTTTATAGCCATTTTTCATTAAACGACTATCAGATAGTAAACTAGTAGAAAGGTCAAGAACGAGGAAAACATTGATAATCTGAATGATTTCTGTGGATCCATTCAAAATTATTTTCTGGTAAATGGTCCCCATTACTATCACACTTCAATAATGCAGATTACCAAAGTCTCAATAACTATTTGAATGCCATTAATTGGAATGAAAACCTTAATTTGGCCAATATAAATGATGCAACCACTGGATTACATCACATTTTGAATATGGCAATAGCCTTGTTTGTACCTGTGAAAAGATTCAAAACATCCACTTTTCCCAAATGGTTTAATGCAGATCTAAGATACCTGGTCAAGCAGAAAAAGTTGGCTCACAAAAATCTTATGCTTAGCAGGAATTATCAAGATTATCAAATCTCAGACTTGAGAAGTGCTCGTAAAAATCATTCAAAATTTTGTAGCCTTGTAAAAGGCGTTAATGGTACGCTCAATTCAAATCCAAAATTTTTTTTGCAATATAAAAAATTCTATTGCAACAAACAAGGAACAAATTGCAGAATGTTTTGCTGAATATTTCTCAACAGTTTACGACAATTCTCATGGTGAGTTTGACGATCATCCTTGTTTGAATATTAACTCATGTATTTTTATTCCCAGTATATCAGCTACGATGATGTTTCATAAAATTTCCCCCAAACTCAGTTCAGGTCCCGACGGAATTCCAAATATCTTCCTAAAAAATTGTATATACTCCATTACTCATCCTCTATACCTTCTTTTCAAGAATTCTCTAGACCAGGCAGTTTATCCAAATTGTTAGGAACACAGCTTCATTATTCCAATTTTCAAATATATAATATAAATATAAAACATTATCGAAGTGTGTGAAGCCAGTTATCTATTCCAAAATTACTTGACAATTTAATTTCAGATCAACTAAACTTTTCATGTAGAGAAAGATTCATCGATAACCAACATAGTTTTTCTCGAAATAAGAGGACTGTTTCCAATCTTCTCATCTACAAGCAAAAAATATTGAATATCTTGGAGGATAGAGGATGCCATATACAGTGACTTTTCCAAGGTATTTGACAGAGTAAATCACAATATACTATTGAAGAAGATGGGAAATTTTGGTTTTACAGAACATTTGCTAAATTGGTTTTGGTAGTTTTTTGGCTGGTCGTTCACAACAGGTTAAAATTGGGGGATGCAAATCGAATGATATATTAGTAATATCTGGAGTCACATTGTTCACCCCTGTTATTCAATATTTTTGTGAATGACATAGGATACTGTTTTGAGAACAGTAAATTCTTAATGTTTGCGGACGACCTGAAGCTTTTTAGACAGATAAAGTCATACAATGACCAAATTCTCCTTCAAGATGATCTTGATAAAGTTTATGAATGTTTCCTAATGTAAACAAATGCCATTTTATTATCTTCACAAGAGATGGTAAAAAAATTCGATACATCATACAGCACTTAGAATACTGATTATCTATAAAAGATTTGGATATTAACCAAATGAGTGTGAAATCACCCAAAACAGTAGGCCTTATTTTACGTTCAGGTTTTTCCAATGAAGCATTAAAAAGGATTTAGTTAGCTCTGGTGGTGTCCAAGTTGGAATATGTATGTATCATTTGGTCTCCATTTTACAATATGAACTGTGTATCTCTAGAAAAAGTGCAAAATAAATTTTTGAGATTTTGTACTTTCAAGTTGTCCTGAATTACTTGAATCTGTCAACATTCATATTCCGAACAGAAATCTTAGACACAGCCATATATTTCATATACCCTTCCATCATAAAAATTATGGCAAACATACACGCTAGGAAAATACCCAAAATTTAATGGATGACAAAATAAATCAGTATTTTTGGTGTCTCTTACGGTCGTTTTAAACAATCATTGAATAATCATGGCAAAAGTTATACATACTGGGTCTATTTCATCTGTATGGTCGTGATAAACAAGGGAAAAAAAAATTTACCTGAAAAACCAATCAGTGATCTTCCGAAAAGCTTTTGAGTGTAAAAAAGTCTTGAAATTTATAAAGTAGGAGATATGCAAAATTATAGATACAGGTTACAATATTAATTTGTTTTCTCGCAACGATCGATCAGGTACAAAAGTGTTGCTGGGCCGTTAGTACCAAAAATAATGTTTTTGTCATGAAATTTAATTATCTCAGATCCAAGAAATATGAAGGCAGTTTTACAGATGTTTTCACGTGCTCTTCCAAACGGTATTTTTTGTTCAGTGGCAGCCAACCACTATCTGGAAATTTTATAGTACGAGTAAAAGTTTTTATTTTTTCTGCCATCCAAAGAAATATGAAGGCAGTTTGATAAAATATTTTCACATGCTCTTCCCAACTGTATTTTTTGTTCAGTGGCAGCAAACCTCTATCTGAAAATTTTATAGTACAAGTAAGTTTTTTTTCTCAAGTCTTTTACGACTATCCAAAGAAATATGAAGGCGGTTCCATACATATTTTCACATACTCTTTCCAACGGTATTTTTTTGTTCAGTGGCAGTAGACCTCTATCTAGAAATTTTATAGTAAGAGGAAAAGTTTTCCCATGTTCTTCCCAATAGTATTTTTGTTCAGTGGCAGAGGACCTCCATCAGGACATTTTATAGCATGAGAAAAAGTTTTTTTTAAGTCTCCTACGGCCATTCAAAAAATCTAAAGGTAGTTTTATGAATGTTTTCACATGATTTTCCCAACGGTATTTTTTGTTCAGTGTAGAATCCAGTTCAGCTGGATTCTACATGATTGCTCAGTTATTTTAATTTCTTGTAATGAAAAAGAATTCAGATATTAATAAATCAACTATACTTTTATGGTGGATCATCCAAAAAAAACATTTATTCCTATACTTGTAACCTTTTTTGAGTAACTTCAGAATTTCTGACACTCAAAATATTTCGGATAGATTGCTGATAGTCTCCCCAAAAATCATTTTTAAGGGTCAAACAGATTGATTACCTAAAAACCTATATACTTACATAATCTTAGACATGTACTCGTATTGGTGAAATTCACAAAATTTCGACACTCAAAATATATTGAGTAGATTACAGATATTGTGAATAATCATAGACTTCGTGTTGGTTTATAATAAAGTCAAAAAGAGTTGATAGTAAGAAGTTAAGAAAGAGAAACAATTTGACAATACCACCTGTGTTTGCTCCCTTATCCCTTGTAAGAGTATCCCTACTCCAGAAAGTGTCGCTAATTTAATGTTAATAATAAAATGAAAATTTGCCTCTATTCATGTGAAAAAAGTGTAAAATCTTTATAAATGATATGGAGTGGATTAGTTAGTAATATATCCTACCGAGTATCCTATACAACAGGGGTCACCACAGTCCTGATTTGAACTGCCAATCTATTTTGTGTGGACCTTGTGTTACCAAACAAAATATTTTATATATATTACTTAAATAAGTATTTAATTTCATAATTTTTCCCGCATGTTGTCTTTGCTTCCGTTGATTCACCAAAGGATGGGCGCAGAGCACAAGTTCGTCGTTTGTCGCAGTGGGCAAGGGAAGCGGTGCGTTGTGTGGGCGGGGTATGCTTGGGAGGTACGCGCTCATGTAAAAAATCAACTTCCGTTGCTTTCTAATCATATGTTTTTAAACATATCAATGATCTTAACATTAAACTCAAAGACAATGGAAAGCTTGTATGGGAACTCCTGACAGACGTAAAAGGCTTTTTGCGAAAACTCAATATTTTCAACATCGGTCTTGATTATGAACCACAAATTTGATGTCGACGTCGGTCAATACAAGAAGTTTATTATGGATCTCAAATCAGAATTTGAAAACAGATTTACTGATTTTAAGAAAATTAAGAGTGTCGTTGTCATCATCAGTAACACATACTCTCTGCACCCTGCTAATGAATAGAGCAATGAAGCTGCAAATGTTTTCAGAAGTAATAAAGCTGGATGGAAATGATAATTTCCAAGAACATACAGTTTTCAAACACCAAAAACAGCAAGTTTCCTGTCAAGAATTTCTGATCAAATTTGTTTGTGCTAAACAATGAACGCCTCCAAGATATAATGACAATACTCTGCACAAACTTTAGTCCAAATTTTGATACTTCCTTTTATTTATAACATTTGTTCGTTATTTAAAAAAATAGTGTTTCAGAACCTGATGTTTTATTTATTCATTACCCGATTGTGGAAAAAAGGAAGGTAATGTTTTTGATATTGTATCTACACATATTTGAATAGTACAGTTTAATACTTCAATAAAGTCTGAAAGGTAAGTCGTTGACTGTTACCTTCCGGATCGCGAGGGTCACGTCATTTAAAAAAAAAGGACCCCTAATGAAAGTAATTGCTAATCAACTGCTATACAACAAATCAACAATTCATGACATATTATGGAAATGTTAAAAGGCAGAACTAATCATTTTTGCAAAATAATCATCAACCTAAATGTCAAAACTAATCATATGCCATTATTTTTGTTACCATCATTTAGAGGTGCTCTTCGATAATTATCAAAGGATATAGACACTTTTGAAGCTCCATTAAATTTCTCTTCACTGCGTTTCAGATGTTCATCATATTCTTTATCAAACTGCATTTGAAGCATCTTAGCAATCACTTCATCACTTTGAAAATCGTCATTGGAAATGGCTCCCAATACATCTGAGGGTATATCTGCAACCTCCAAATCACTTGGTGAAAACTTGGTTTCATTTTTTTTAATGTACTTTTCTTCTTTTGCTTGTAGATCTCTAGCTACTTCTTCAGATAGTATGTCAGTGAAATTCACTGGCTCTGGCTTCTCAATTTTAGCCCAGGGACAAGACATACTCTGGTTTAATTGTAGTTCCAAATGAAATGAAAAATATAGATTTGATTTTGAAAATTATTATAGTAATCTTGCGCAACAAGATTTAATGTTGCTCAACTCAACCTCAACACAAAAACTTTGCAAATTTCCCCTTCCCAAAGATAACCAAATTTTAGTTATCTTCTATCTTCTTTACATTGTTTACTATTCTGTGTCTTTACTATCCTTTTCTTTCTCGCTAGGTGGCAAATTGACAAACGACAAGTTTGCATTGTTTACAATAACAACGAACAGCTGTTTGCAAAAGAAGAGCAATCCGTAAATCGACACGGAACAGTAACTATGAAATTTTTTTATTATCACTACTTCCTAACCGCTACTGACGAGAATTTTTGACAGCATTTACCTGAAAAATATATTTTTGTTGGTTACTTTTGAAATACGCTGGTTGTTAATTGTGTCATTAATAAATCAATAACATTTTCGAACTGGAAACAATACACTATAACCATAGGTACATTTTTCAATTAATTGATCTTGTAATATTTAAATTGAGTTACTAAGTTTCTTAGGGTCATTTTTGTCGGAGGAAGATGAAAGTCACAGAAGACCCTAACATTCAGAGTTTTTACTTGGTTTACTCTAAGTTTACTAGGTTTTTGTATACCTTTCTTGATGATCGTCTAAATAAACATATTTTAACCTACGTAGTTCTTTTTTTTCATTATACAAATTTCACTATACAAGGTTTTCTCAAACCATCAGAATTTGAGATATTTGAGGTGAGAAGTTTTTGAATGAACACCCTGCTTGGGACATATGTCTCTGTCATTTTGTTTCTATCAAAGTGAATACTTGATTAATGTTTTCATTAGTTTGAAGAATGTGATAAAATGTATCAGAGATATGACTGGAAATTAACGCAAATGAAAGATAAATCAGAAAAATTGCGTCAAAACTCAAACTGAACAAATAATTTCAATAATAAATTATACAACACAACAAAAAAATATTTTTTGAATGTTTCCTACACTAAATTAGTCAATTTCTACTAAAAACGAAAATAACAATGAAAAATTTTTATTAGCTCTGGTTTTTGAGATACACAGTACTTAATCTTAAAGAGTAGTTATACTATACGTGAAAAGTGAAAGTACATAAAACAATATTGTTATGTTTCTTTTAGAATATTTTAAGTACAAAATTAATAAAAAAAACATTATTCTTAGTGTTTTGACAAATAAAAGAAGTTTGTACCACCAAATTTCAATTAAGTCCATCCGATTCATTGTAAGATCGCTGTCGTTTAGCTTGTCTTTTATAAAACACTACTGGAGCATCCCTACACACAGACCAGCAGTAGTCTGCAAGCATTGCTTCATTCCAACGGCCCTGATATCTCTGTTCCATTAAGGCAATGTCTTGATGGAATCTTTCTCCATGTTCGTCACTCACAGCTCCACAGTTTTGTGGGAAGAAATTAAGATGAGAGTGAAGAAAATGAATTTTTAAGGACATGTTGCATCCAAGTTGGTCTGTCTGTACTGAGATATTTTCACATCATGTTTTAGAAGATTCCACTGTTGTAGTCTTGACCCTAACAGCTCAGCCTTTTCCTTAGACAAGCGAAGATCTCTTATAAGGTCACTCAACTCTGCTTGACTAATTCTGTGCGGATCACTAGACCTATCGCTTACCTCAAAATCAGGGTCATAGGATGTAGAAGGATGGGTTGCTCCTTCTAAACAGTCTTCATCACCTTCCTCTAAATTTTCATAGTTTTGGGGTGGAGAAGGGACTGGCAAATTGTCTGAGTGTGGTACAGGCCGAAGAGCAGATGGGAGATTAGGGTATTTAACCGTTCCTCTTTTCTTCATAGATAAACCTTGCTTAATGGGAGGAGTTAAGCAGAAATAACAGTCGTCTGTATGATTGGTAGGCTCACGCCAAACCATAGGTACTGCAAAAGCCATTGCCCGGTTTTTATTTTTCAGCCACTCTCGCAATATGACGGAACAAGAATTACAACATATATGAGGAGCCCATGATTTATCTTGGTCCCCAACTTTCACACCAAAATAATGTTCATAGGCTGTCTTAACGATAGGTGTCATTTTACGTTTCTGAGCCTTAAATGTTATTTCACCACATATATAGCAAAAGCTATCGACAGAATTCACACACTTTCGAGGCATTTCAGATCAGCACTTAAATTAATTTAAAAATCAACTTCACACGATAATTTCAATAGCAACCACGTGCGTACAATTGACAAACTCACATAGGTTATGTTTACTACTTAAGAACAGCTGATGAGAGGGGTGTTATGTAAACAAACATGTGTACCAACTGTTGGTGATGAAATATTTCATTTGTTGAAAACTCAATATACATATATATAATATAATGATACTATATCTTGAAAACAAGAGCTAATATATAATTTTTATGGTCACTTTCGGTTTTAACACGTGGAAATACATTAAAATCATTTAATTTCAACCCCGAAACAAAAAATTTGTTGTGTTGTGTTATCAAATTGTGAAATTACCCGAATTCTCTAAATTATGAACACGCAAAAACGTTTGCCTATTATTACTATTGGTGCCAATGTCTGATTCATTTCTTCGAGAGTAGAGGTGCCACAAAATTCGATGATATTTTTGTTCCACAATTCACATATATAACTGAAAATTTATAGTTAAAAAGTTTGAATTTCCAATTACAAGTGTAAATTGTGAAATTCACAAATATAACTGTGACATTGTCTAAGGATTTAGACAATGACTGTGAATCTATAGATTGCAATCTCTTCGTATGTACACTTTACACATGGCACAATAGATTTCACTTGAATTAAAAGGGGGTATATTTTTAGGAGAGATTAATTTTTAGGAAAGAAAGTTTTGGTTTTTTACTTCTCCATCTTTATATACAAAAAAAATGTGGGAATATTCCAAGAAAGGCAGGATTAAAGGAAAGAAGCAATA